GTATAAACATACGGTGTAGAACTGATCCTTCTTATATGCATGTCTTCTGAAAATAAAGGAGATGTGCATACATAACTTACCTAAGTTTACTATTTGGAATGACTGTTCGGGCAAATTTCCCAAATCCTGTGGTAATTCCATAAACAACTGAAAGACACATACACTTCTGGGTAAGGAGAGAACCCAATAAAGTTATCTAAACCAAATGAAAAAAAGTAATTAACAGCTAGAGATGAAAAACATATATACCTGTTTGCTCTTTTACAATCCTTTCGATCACTTCTCTTGATCGCTTAACTTTAGCTTCAGCTTCACGTGTGAGCTAGAAAACAAATATTTTCAATATTAACTATTATTCCTTAATTCTAATCATAGAAGGATAAATACATAATGTCTAGCCATGTTCATTCAGAATCTTTACCTTTATCTTGTAGAGTCCCTTCCCTAAATTCACCAGGTCCTCTGTTGTTAAACTGTCCCCGTCTAAAGAAATGTACTGCACAAAAGAACCACACTTTAATTTGGGCTACATATAAAATTGCTTAATAATCAGTATTAAATAAAAATATAGGAATGATAGGAATGCAATGATAGGAAGCTCACTCATATTCTCATTTGTAAGGCAGGAAACTCTCCAACAAAAAAGTAATGAGCACATTACAATTCTGATTCCCAGGCCCAGCAAATTTAACTGTAATTCATGCTGTGAATGCTGTGATTACTGAACTCTCAAGAGTTTCTTTTGGTGAATAGCAAGGACATTACTGAGCTGTAGAATCATCATCAAGTCCTACCTGTTCTGGTTCTCTGTATTTGCTATACCTAAAAGTTCTGTAAAGGAAAATAAAGGGCAAACAGAATTTCACAGGTCACAGCTATTTGATTAAAGCTACCAACTTTTTCTAAAGACAGAGGAACACTGAAAAAACAGGGAAATGTAGAAAACTGTAGTTCTCAATTACAAAAAAAAAGACAAAAAAAATCAAAAAAGGATACAAATGAACTCCTTCTGGTTGAGATGGTATGAAATCTGGAGACATTATATCTCCTTCTATAACTAGAAGAAATAAGTAAAGTAAGCACAAGCAGCATTAAATTGGACTTTTCATAAAAAGAAGTTCTCTATTCTTTGTAATACACAGCAGTATGAATTTTAATTTGTAGTCGTCAGCCCAAATCATATTTCTCTGCTTCCAGGAAAACAAGAAGTGACGGCGTAACTGTTTAAGGTACTCTAAAGGCAAAAGCAAACAGTTCAGCCCTTGGGCACGTAGTCTGTATCTCACACAGACAGTGCATATGATATCATATAGAGATGATCCATACCGAACCCTGTAGCTTCTAAACTTTATAAAATATATTTCTGTTCTTTGTAACTACTGTTGCATTTTGGCCTTTTTTCCATAGAATCACAGAGGCTATCTCAGATGCGATTTTAGACGAACACACGCCGTGCGCTGACTCCCCCACCATCCGTTAGCTCTCTGCGGAGTGCTGCTTAGGGCCTGCTTACCCACTTCCACAAACTCGTTGTCCTCCAGCGCGTCCTCCACCGTGTCATCGAGGTCCAGCAAGCCGAGCCCCTTGCACCTCCGCACATAAAATTTTACCTCTTCCAGCGAGTTAAACCCGCCGTTGTCAGGTTTGTTTTTCATGTATCGCCTCACAGCCTCCTTTCCCAGCCACCCGATGGTGCTCGTGCAGTTCTGGCAAGGTACTGCCAGCCATTCTCCCCGCACGTGCACGGTGTATCTGGGCATGCTTCCTCTCCACGCCGTGCTCCAGCGGGACTGTGGCTCCGCCGGCCTGCAGTGCCGCAATCAGATAACGGCAAAAATCCACCCCCAAAGATCCCTACCTTTGTAAATAAGCCAGACCAATGTATTCAGTTGACTTCATCCAATCAAACCAACCCTAGGGAGCACACCCTTTTTCTGGGAAGGGAAAAGGACCCCCCCACTGTCACAGGAATTTTTTCCAGAGATCATACCAGATAGATAGAAATGAAAAACCAGGAGCTAGAGTTTATGCATCAAGAAAAATAGACAAATGAATCAGAATATACTGAAATGCAGCTGTACTAAGGCCTTAAAGATTTAACAGGAGGTAATGGAGCTCCTACATGGCAGTAGATCATACTAATACCTGCATAAAGGACAAGGCTAGAAGATATTTGCCCCATTAGGGATTGGTAGCAGCTGCTGGGATTAAAAGGAGACTAGATTATAGCCTTGCACCTCTAACCTGAGTGAGATGAAGCAGGCTGGCAGTGTAGGAAATTAATCTGCCTTGCTCATTCTGTGGAAGAAGTGTTTGTGGAAGAATTGTTTGAAAGCAGGAAGGGAGAGGAAAACTAGGACTTAACTGAAGTTTTGGCATTACAGAGGCCTGCTGGGGGTGATACACAGTTGCCACTTCCAGGATTGCTGGTGCGCATGGACTCAGCTCCTCCACGGTTCCCTAGGCAGCACAATCTGCCCTCCTCGCAGCTGCAAAGGGGAGTAACGGAGGATGGAGCGGGGTGAAGACACCGCGGCCAAACTCTGTTGTGCTCCCTGAGCTGGGCCGCTGAGAAGCCGCACAGTAGCTGTCTAATGGGAGATATACGATAACATGTCCGGTGCTGAGCCAGCAAAGGTGGCAAATCACTCCTTTCAGATGAACTTTGCTGAGCCAGCAAAGGTGGCAAATCACTCCTTTCAGATGAACTTTGCTTGAACTTTGCTCATTATAATGTGAAAACCATACTTCCATCCCAAAAGTTACCCGCCTCCGAGGTACGACCACCCCTCACTGAGCATGCGCTCTAGATTTTCGGTGGACTGTACCTTTAAATGAAAGCGAGAAACTTTTTCACCAATCAATAACAATATTAAGTATGACTCTAGTCACTCAAGCTCCACCTGAATGTAAAGAAAAGTATAAAAGGTGAACTAAGGATGAAGGGGTGAGTGATGATTGCACATTTGTACATCAGAGCTAGCTAAAACCCCACGCTCTAGTAGAGAATTTCCTGTACTGACATCTGAAACCTGCTTTGTAAATGTTGCATTTGAGTAACTCATACTGTTTGTCAACTTGTTTGGGGGGGAGGCGATCGGACCTACAGTTGACAGACTGTTCGTGAATCTGATACTGCCAGGGTCAAACTTATAGTTGATCACACTATTTGGGAACTCGATTCGCTCCTAGGAAGGCGATCGGACCTACAGTCCACAGGCTGTTTGTGAATCTGATACTGATTTGATATCTCCTTCCCCCTCCACCACCACTACCACTACGGCTTTCAGACTGCAACATTTTCACAATTCCCACACTGAAATTAAGAAGGTAGTTTTGTATCACAGGTTAAACACAGAATTCATAAATCATCCTCTATTACTCTGTAATTTGAGCTCTGGAGGATGTTGCTATAGCAGGTATGATCAAACACTGGACAGCACCTGCACGGTTCTGAGCCTCATACTGCTTTACCTAACTTCCTTTGCAGACACAAGCAAGGAGGGAAAGATGTGCAGAGATGCAGGTGATAATGGATGCTAAAATAAAACTTAGCAATGACCGTGTCAAGAGAGGAGCTGTAGGTGCCTATATCCTTAAAGACAAAACTACAGCACCACAGTTGTAGTTCATGCTATCCAACACATTATTCCTAGCCACCAAAACAACCACTATAAAGTGCTCTCAGCTGGGATGAGTTACTACAGGAATGAGTCTTTGCTGGAGATGGGTTGAAGTCTCCACATGGGTGACGCAGCGTGGCAGAGGGAAACGGTGCTGCTCAAAGGCAGGCTGGACACTGCCTCTGTCCCAGCTCCAGCCGCAAAAACCAAGCCTGGCTGGCAGCCCGAATTCCCACAGCTAGCCCAGGTGCAAGACATGGCCTTCCACAAGAAAGAGAGAGTTGCCCCAAAGCAATAACATGGCAAACGTTTCGACCAAAGGCAGTAACAGCTTTCTTTGTAATCCAATACCTTGAGCCAAAATTCTTCTAAAGCAGGTCCTTCCTTCCAGCAGAATCTTGTCCTTGCTCATTCAGGTGCATTTCAGCCAGGCCTCCACTAGAAGCTTTCACTAGCAAGAAGAGAGCCAATGGCTCCTTAGATCCTTTATACAAGAAAGCTTTAACATCTGAAGTAGCTACTAAATCAAGAGCGAATTACCATTTTAGCTTAAAAAAGGTCAGTGTACTTTTTTCTGGTTTCTCACAGGCTAAGTAGCACAAGCTAAACAAAAAAGGTTAAACTGGAATTATTTTAAAATATGAAGTGGGATGAAATAATTTAAATAAGCGCTAAAAGCATAGCAAGATACCCCAGCTTTGTTTAAAAAAAAGGAATTTCAGCTGCCTCCAAGTATTACTGTGCTACACAGGATTCAACAGAACACTTAAGTAAAATCATCATGTTGTGATCAATATGAAGAACTGACTAATACTAAGGGCCATGACAAATAAGGCTAGAATAAAATTTTGCTCAAATATAATAATGCTGTGATCCAGTCTGGTCTTCATAATCTTTTTGGACTCATAGTGTTCGACGCCAAGTCAAACATTTCTCTCACAGTGCAGGAAAGTATGATAAAATTGTTTATCATTGTTCCTGTACTTTTTTGTACAGATCAATACAAGGACAAATAGGCTGAGCAATAAAAAGATTTATTATTTTTTAAGTCTTCAGACACTTGGAGTTTCAACTGCATGTTGCTATGAAAAAGAAAGCTGCGCACAGAGTGACAACATCCACCAGTTAATTTTTCACAATTTTAAATTCCACATAATTGACAAAAATGACTGCATCTCAGAATTGCTGTTTTGTATTTTAAAAATTGTTTGTAACAAAATCATTCCCCTAATTCCATAAATTCAGTGATTCTACAGTTTCACTTGTGGGTGCAAAATATAAAAACTGATTTGGAAGGTTTGTTTTAAGCTAAATTAGTAACGAGGCAGCAGAACCTTTTATGGGATAACCAAGCACGCATATCAGTAGAGGCTGCAGGATCAGTCTTTTCTTTGCTCCCTGTGAATGAGAATATTTCAGAGAAATTTGTCACTGATCCTGTTTCAAGTCTTTGCCCACCAGCATTGAAGTGACTGGGTGCATAGAAGCTCTGTTCTCCAGAAACGCCTTGACAGCCAGATCTCGGGACTTGTCAAAATTGTAGAGATCCCTGTAAAAAATACAACATCACAAAAAGCCATGAAAACATAGTTCAATGTGGATTTTCACCTCAAAGTTTTACTTTTCCCTTGAAATCCTCATATTAAAATACACAATATTAAGATACAAAAAAGAAAAAAAAAGATAATCAAGAAATGGAAAACTATTCTGAAGATTATCATACCCAAAGTACACATAAGATTCTCTATTACATGACTTAAATGGTTACGTACATATGTTAATATACCAAATACATGTGTATATATGTCATGATATCAAGCCCAAACTCTAAGACTGTCAAAAACGTGAGCGCCTGAGCTTTGAAAATTATTTTCACCTGAACAAGGGTCGAGTAAACTTCATTCTGCCTTGATCTGTAGCCATTTTCAGGGCCAGAGGAATGGCTTCTTGCCACTTGGCCTGGATGCAGAGGCGCAGCCATCTAGGGGGGAAAAAAAAGTACATTTTTATTTCTCCTTCATTTTCACCTGCAGCAGTTAGTCACTTTAAGATTCTGCTTCCATAAACACTCACTGCTGTACCACATAACCATAGGAATGGGGGTTTACTATAAATTCTACATAAAATATTCAGCGCATGAATTGTTTATTTAAAAAAAAAGTTGACTTTGAATTTTCTTTTCTGTTTTTTAGTCAAAGTTTCCCCAAAGTGTTTTTTCAAGAATTATACATTTCTTTTCTATTACAATAGTGTCCAATTGCATCATTCCGGATTTGAACTCAATTATGTAGCAATTACTACATTTGATCGAGTCATTAAAAAAAAAATCTCACCAGCACGGGCACACATTCATTTTTTTTAAAAAGAAGAAAATATCTTGTTATGAGAACCATGAACTATACTGTATGCTTAAAATATTCTAGGTTTTGTGATAGGAAACAAAGAAGTACAAGATAGGTAAGGCAGACTATTCTCGGCTGTTGCAAATGTACCAGAGTAGGCAGCAGCAGCAGCAAGCTATGCAATTCTTCAACTATTTGTGAAGATGACTTTTCCTCAACAATAGATTCTTTTGCAACTCCCAAGTGGTGTGTTTTAAGAATATGTAAACACAAAACAGAAGAATTCAGGATGGTACAAGAATTATAAGCTCAAACTGCTTGGCTACAAGCATCTGTTTAGAAACTTTCTCCGAAATTAAATCTTTTGGAGAGACAAAATGCTTTGTGATAAGAGGCATTAAAACATAGCAAAAAACTTCCAGGTTGTGCTGAAGAAACACAGGGCTATTAGCATAAGAAGTCAGTAGCCCTGGCCTGATCGAACTGTGGGAAAATCTTTCAAGCATTTCTTCAGGCCACTATTATCCAACGCAGCCCCCAAACAGTTAGTAATCAAATCACCAGTAATCAGAACACCTTGCTAGTGTGACACATGACAGTCTAGCTGAGCTAGTCCGCTGTTTACTTTCTGTTCTTCTGCATGAAGAATATATTTAAATAATTTACCCAACTCATAAGTAATAGAATATTACTCTTTAGTACGCATGCATACACATGCATATAGTAAAAAGTAATGGTTTTGCTGAACCTCAGTTGATTAAAAAGAGCAAAACTGATCATTTATGAAGCAGGGCAATTTGTTTTATGAAACTATTTAAGTTCAGGAAAAAAAATAAAGCCTGAATAGAACAAACCTGAATCTTATTTCAGAGTTGGTTATAGCATTGAAGTTGTATACCTCCTGCATTTGTTTCACATGTGACACTGGAAGTGGTGCCTAAAAAGGGAAATCGCAAAGTCAGAATAAGTCAGATATGCACACTTCAACCCAGGCACTTCAAAACAGAAACAAGCTCTTGAGGGGAGACTAATGCTACAAAAGGTAAAATAAAAAACTTACTATGATAAATATAAGTATTCGTTCCTTTCATCCTCTTATAGGAAAGGAATAAATATGGATGTCCCAAAAAATCACACCCAGTGCTACCAGAACATTCAACAAAAGAACTTGAAGATATCTGTAGCATGTTTAAATGACACAAAAGTCAAATTTAGACAAAATCAAGCCAGTTATTTTAGCAAGATTAGAAGAACACAGACAATTTATTTTCAAAGCACATGTGGGCTTCTGCACATGCCTTTGAAAAATAAGGATTAGATTACACCAGGCACACATTTACCTCCAGAAGCAACAGTCCCAGGAACTCAATCAGCTGATGAGATGACATTTCCTTCAGGTCTGCTGAGCTGAATGAGCACAAATCACTCTCTTCTGCCTAAAAGACAGAACAGTTGTTTATGCTTTTAATAGGCATTTCAATGCAAAAAAAAAAAAAAAAAAAAAAAGCTTATTTCTTTGTGTTTGGACACCTGCATTTACTTTTGAGCTGTTTCATATAAAAATGTTCTGATTTATGATATCCAAGACTGCATGAATGCAAGATTCTAAGGAGAACACAGGAGGTTGAGGTACTATATGATGTTTAGTATTCTCCACTTTAATTTTTATTTGCTTTCTCCCCACTGATCTTTGTTAACTTTTAGTGAAAAACAAACAAACAAAAACACACTTTTGCTACAACAAGTAACATGGAGAAGAAGAAAGTTAAGCATAAACATTCTGGGACAGTAAAAAGCCATCAAACTAAGTAAAGAAACAGATGTGGAATTCTCTATTAATTTTATGAGTTTTCTGGTGGAAATTGCATGGTAATAGCTACTTACTGTGATGTATATATAATTAGGATTTTGTATGTATTTTAGGTTTTGATGAGAAATACATAATACACAATATGCAGCAAGTACTACTAATACAATGCAATCAGTAATGTAGAGATACCTTGTCATTTATTTTTAATCAAAATACGAAGTTGTAGTATTAGCCATTCAAAAAGAATAATCGCAGTCCAGCTTTGTATGCATGACACAAGGCTGGCTGTGTGCCCTGTTAAAATATGCAATCCATACCATATACAGAAGCAAATCCACAGACTCTATGATGAAAAGCTACTTTATGAAATACAAAACCCCTGGCAGCAAAACCATCACGGTAAAATAAATTCCCTCTCATCAAATGATAGGCTTCATAAGAGAATGGCTAATTTTGTACAAAGAAAACACAGAAAGCTCAGATGAATTCTTTAAGCACTTACTTTGATCCATCTTTGGCTCAAGGCAACACAAGCATTTGCTAGTGTCATATCATATCTGTCAAAGAGGAGAAACAAAGAATCACACTCTGGAAACACAAATGACTCCTACATTTCCACAAGTATGTTTAGGAACTCTTTTCAAATGGCTCATCAGAGGCTGCAGCTTGATACTGCAACACAATTTACTAACAACCTAATAGCATGGAATATGCTCCTGTGTTTTCACTTCTCATAGTAATCGCAAGTGTTTAGTGCACAGGTGACACTGCCCCTCGATGCCATATACTTCTGTCCTAAGATGATGGATGTGTATTTCTGAACATACACAATGTCTAATTGTAAATGTATTACAGTTTCTAGTCAAAAATAAAATATTCCTCTAGTGTTTGGTTAGTGGGAAAAAAAAAAAATCTTCGATAGCAACTTTCAAAGCAAAAGGAATTTTCAATGGAAAAAAAAGGAAATACTAAGAGCAAAATTCCTTCTCCCTCCATATACATAGCAATTTCTACAAAGTACCAGGACATTTCTTGAGGAAAGGTGTGTGGGAAAACTTTCATTCTGTTTGCCAAATGTTATGTGACTGTTTGAAAAATGAGGTGGAATCTGAAGGAAGAAAAGACAAACTCTGAGAGAGGTCACACTTACGTAGGTTTCACAGGGGGCATTCCTTTTTTTTTTGGAGCATGCAGCCAGGAGTTCCAATCAACTTTATCAAGAACATCTGCCTGCAAGCAATATGAATTCTTATTCAATTAAAAATGTAATTTTATAGAAAAGCATACCCTATGAGAATTAGTTTTAATCTTTGTTTAAAAACGAAACAACAATAACAACAACAAATCCCTCCAATGAAGCCGAAGAATTCTATTAAAATCTAATCTTAATCATTGGAAAATGCACAATATAATGAAAATTTATCACAGTAAGATTTCAGATTACCCTGCATTAAGATCTTTAAATAAGGAGCAGAAAGATAAAGGACAGGTCCTTACAGAACATAATTCCTGACCTATGTCACAGTTCCACATAAAAAGTTTCAATCAGTTAGTTTTAAATATCCAACCTTATCCTTGAAGTAGGAGTACAAAAACTTCTTCCAGTCCTCAGTTGTTATGCTCTTATAAGCAAACTGCTGAATGTAAGTCTTCAGGAAGCCAATGAAGACATCTGACAGTAAAAACAAGCAACTGCTTCAATGTTTGAAATTAAAATATGAAATGATAAAAAGTAAACTCTGGCTAACACTTACCTGGTCCTCCAAGAAGTTGTTCAAGGTGAAAAAGCAAAGCAAAGCCTTTCTCATATGGAACAGAGGAATAGGCAGAATCCAGATCTACTTCGTTCAGATTAGGGACTAGGCTAGTTATAGGATTTGTTTCTCCGAGTGTATTCATCTGTGACAAACATGTTAAGAAAATTTCATCCAGAAAGGGAAATATTCTGTAAATCATTGCTAATCAGATCTATAAAGGTATCATACATCCTAAACTGAGATGGTCTCGTTTTAGAACATCATCTCATTCTTCTTCCTGAAGCTCTGAGTTTGCACAGTTCTTACTGTTTTCTCATTTTGTTGTATCAGTGTTTGGCATCCTATCAAACAAAGATATTAGGATCAATCACCCTGCACCTGTGTCATTCCAAAGTAGTTAATTACTATAACAGCTGTCTTAATCACATGTGCCTAATGAGCTACATATAAAGAGTAGCTTTATAAATTAAATAGCTTACGCTTTATACTGCCTGTTTAAATCACGTACAACAAGGAAGCATTCATAGTAGAACAGATAAGTGAGCCATCAAGCAGAATGAGAGGAAGCTACGCTTATCACAGATCAAAAGTTTGAAATCTACACTTAATCATGTTCTCCAGCCTCTGGAGAGGCACCTTCTCAGAAAGGAAGAGATGATTAGCAATGTACTCAATTATAATGCAATAAGAAAAAAATAAATCAGGTATTTGCATTAGGAACTGCAAATTCTGACACCTGAGAAAGCAGTCATGCTGCAAATAGTTTTGGCAAGTTCTCAGCTACTTCCCACTACACAATCAGTTAATACTGCAGTTTAGTCATATTCTGGAGGAACCAAAAGAGACTAGAAAAGATGTCCATCCTTACAGAGCAACTTAAAATAGTTCAAAAAGCTTTATCTATCCTCTGACTGAGCATACCAAGCTATTTACCTTGGGAAGACAACAAATGCTTGATAACCAGAGCTACTCATCCTCGCAAAAATACCAAGAAAGTTTCTTGTGCAAAACATTAAATGTAGTACCTTTATTTAGGCTTATGTTTAAACATGAAGTTCTCATAAGTGTAATGATAGTTACCGTATTCTGCAGTTCTCTCCAGCCTCCCAGTGCTTGAAATTGCCTTAACTGCTCACCAAACAACCGACCACCAATCCTCCGTTCCAAGTATACAGTGTGTCCCTCATTTAGCCTAGAAATATATTGATAAAGTTAGCATAGGTAAGATGGCAAAATTAATTTACTTGATTTCTTTACATATTGATTTTAAAATATACTTTGTATGGCACTCAACATCCTACTTACCAGAAATGCTCCCATGTTTTGTTTGTTACCAAGTTTCCTGTCCAGCTGTGAGAGATTTCATGAGCAATAACCTAAAATATAGAAAGCAACAATAGATCTACATCTTAAGACTCCTCTGAAAAATGAACCACCAAATTCCAACAGAAATGAAAAATGATAATGGGATGTTTATTTTCTATATTCTCAAAGCCAACTAATATTCACAGCTCTGTAAACTTACCCAACTTAGGAATTTTATTTAGAGAACGACTAGCCTAACTGCACCTTTTCCAGAAATAATTTTGAATTGGTGGCCTGCAAGCCACAGAGCCAAACTCACTAGCAACATCTAGCAACATATGCTCATTTATCCGAAGTTACATTTACAGAATACTGGACACATGTGAAGTGACAGACTATTATTACTTTCCCACTTGAGCAACTGCTGCACTGCTGGGAAGTTCTACAAAGACAAGAAGGAAATCACCCCTAGAAGAATAACAACACATGATGGCCATGTCCAAGTATCCGTGTCAAATACTTCAGTAATTCTGTGATAAGACAATGACACTCATTTTTGTAGCAGTGGATCAGGTAAAGAGGCTAATGAGATAAAACATTAACAAGAATACCCAACTTTGCAAACAAAGCTAGAGTTAACTAGAGATAGAGATAACTGTACACGATGCATGTTCTACTGACTAAACAGATGGACAAGTTTCCTCCAAACAATTTAGATCAATTTAGTTGTGTTTTGAACTTACACTTAACAGGTGACAGAAAGAAAGATACTGAGTAGCTGACTGAAGTTAGTCCCCTAGGAGTATAGGCAACTGTTATGAGTATAGGCAACTGTGTTATTTTCACACGGGTGTAAAATATGCAAAATACAGCTGCAGTTCAATTACGGTTTATTTAGAACTAAAATTCAATTCGTAAGACTTCCTGAGTCAAAGTCTTAGGTTTTAATTCACCCAGTGAACAAAAGACCGCACTTGCACATATTCACTACAAAACAAGATGCAATTTCAAGTTCTCTTTGAAGATGTGAACATATTTTGTACTTACACCTGACAGAGACCGATCACCTGCCTACAAGAAAAAAAAAAGATAAAAAATGCAGGTAATTATTAGTTCATAATAAAACTCAAAATACACCAGCATAATATTTCACATATGACTCTAAAGAAGGCAAAACCATTTACAGTTCTTTCTGATGGGAAGAATACGAATTAATATCCAAACACTGCAGGAAGCTCCAAGGAAAGGTGACTTCTGGGAGGGTTATACTTACCAAGAGTGTTGGAGTTACAAAAGTAAGGCAAGGATTCTCCATACCACCATAAGGAAAAGAAGGTGGTAAGACTAGCAGATCATACTGGCCCCATATGTAAGGTCCCGCTAAATCTTCTGCCGTTTGCAGCATAGCTTCAGTCTGAAACAAGAATTCACACCAGTTTCTAACAAGACATCTAACTACAAACTCTAAACCAGTTTTAAGCTATTGACCAGCACTTCATTCTCTCTCAGCCTGGGAGCTTCCACATGCAAAACGAGCACAAGACTCTGCATCAACCCTTATTCATCATATCCAACAGTAGCTTTTTGCTTGTGAATGGCATCTTCTTGGGGATGGGAAGTGAAGGAAGGAGGGGTGCAGAAAAAAACAATGTGAACAAAACGCTGAAATATAATATGTTCCTTTTCCAGTACTACATCAAGCCGTAAACATACAGATTTTTTTGTTGTTGTTAATTACCCACCTCAGCAAATTCATAAGCTGATTTATCCACTAGCTCCTTTTCAGCCCATACCAAAGTCCGTGGGCCAATCTCTCTGTTGAAAGCAAAAACTCTAGTTAGACACAATGAACTGGGGGGGGTTCCATGGGGAACTAACATAGGGAGCGTAAGGTGTTTCAGGTGCTTAGGAGCGGCCTGTGTTGCTGAAGAAACTCATTAGAGAACTTCAGAAAACAAAACAAAACATACACATTCACTCTTCAGTAAAGAGATTAAATAAGAAACACATCCACAAACTTTAACATATTGTAAAGCGCTAATACGAAACATTATTTTGGACTAGAATGACAGAGGAGCAGTGAGATTGAAACTGCCAATATCTGCCTTTCCTAAGTGAGGAAGTTCATCTGTTAGTAGATGAGAAAAAATAATAGTATCTGAGATAAAATTTAAAAACAAACAAACAAAAACTCTCAGTGATTCCAAACAACTCCAAACTCTTCATAGCATAGCTTTTTCTTACAGTAAAAGCATATTACAATCAAAAAATGATGCAAAAGCATATCAACATGTATACATTTTGACATAAATAAAGAGTTCAAAAACATAAATTAAACACGGCGAAGCACTACAGAACAAAATGAAATTCAGTTCCAGGATGAAAAGAAGGTTACCTACTTACAGATAATGTTCAATGAAACTATAAGACTGTTAAAAACATGAAACACAAGATCAAGTAAGAGAACTTATTGAGCAGTTTTTATAATTATTAGCATTTATACTTTTACTCACCTGCTTTCCAAAGCTCCAACTACTAAAGCAATCAAATAGCAAGGTATTGGAACCTAAATGAGAACATTAAAAAAAAAAAAGTATTTGTAATGCAAGGTATCAACACCACTGATTTAGTCAAAGAAAAAAGGGATATATAAATAAAGATGTGCACTTCCTCCACAATATCCTGCCTAGTATTAGAATAAAGGCACTGCTTTTATTCCCCAGCATGATTTTCCTTTATTTGTGAGAAGCACTTATTTCAGGGACCTTACACGCAAAAGCCACAAAACCGTAGCATGTCTATCTGAAAACAAAATTTCTGCAGTGTAAGAGTACACAAAAATGCAGCCAGTTTGACTAATGTTAAAAAAATACATTAAAAAAAATAGTTTTCCATACTCATTCCAGATTCATTAGTATTTACAGGAGGAGGATGCAGGAGATGCATAACCCTGCTGAAATTCCACTTTAATTTGACAGAGTTTTTGATAAAATTTTAATCCACTATTTAATATCAAAATGCTTTGGTGATAATATTTATTGAAATTGTCATGAGTGTTTTAGTTTACATATTAAACTGTAAAATATACTCTTGAAGGACTTAAATCCACTGATTTATGCTACCTGCAGGTTAGAAAACAGGATTAATAAATCCCTACGTTTTGATGCCTGATTCACTGATATATAATTCTGAATTCTTCAAATCTCAATGGTTCTCAGGTTATAAATTCATTTCAGAGAAGCTGCTCTCCACTACACTTCTTACCAGCCTGGCCATCCAGGAGCAAAAATATATTTTAGAGATCTAGTGGTGTTTTACATTACATTGATTACAGGTAGTATGATTTCAATTAGACTAATTTTTGTTTTATTCCATACAGGTCCACTAGATAACACCCCTCCTCACAAGCCTTATCCACTAGGCTAAGAGCAGCAAATGTTTCTGGCTCAACACAGCAGGTAAAACACAGCATACTGAAGAGCTCACAGATATAAAATGACAAGGATTTCTCTGTATCCTCTCAAGTTTCACATAACAGCCAAGTCATCTTAACAGCTGCTACAGCTCAGAGGAGGTTTCACTCTCTTCCAGCCACACAACTCTATCCTGCCTTGCACTCAACAATCCAGTTTACAACCCGCCCCCTCCTTTTTTTTTTCTTTTTTGCTTATGTAATTTTATTGACAGTTTGGCAATATAAAGTAGAGTTACCAAGAGATGTTAAACATGAGATCAGGCACACAGAAAGCAGTGAGAACAATAAAGGCAGGAGATAAAAGTGAGACTCCCATGTTAGGAGTGGGGAGTCATTAAACTAGTTGCACCATTTCATGGAACTTCATCCTGAGAATGGCAACTTTGTCCTAAGAATGGCAACACTTAATTAGCTGGAGGCACTTACAAAAATTGAAGTTTTCACCTTTTAAAAACTTTCTGTTATTATCATATATACAGTCAACTTCAAGCTGATTTCACTGCTCAGCTTCACTGACAAGTTCCTGGTAAGCTTAAAATTTGCAGGATCTGACTTTCAAAGCTCACTCCCATGTATTAAATCTAACTCTTTGGTTCCCAAGTATCCGTAAGAACAGAAGGGATTAATGCTAGCTCTGAGCATACTAAGCATTTTCAAACTCCACAGGCTTTCCTTGGAATGACAAATGACCAGCATCAGCTAACTTTTCAGATTTGGAGAGTTGGAATATCTGTAATATCTTTTCACAGAAGCAAAGACCCATTGGTAGTGCCAAGATTTATTGGCGATAGTAAGAACCATAGATGAGCTGCTTGTCAACTGCCTGGGAGTAACAACCCCATAGGCCTCTCTGCCCTAGCCTGCAGCACTCACATTTTGACTGAAACGGTATATCTTGCGACTGCTGTCTTCAGGGTCAGGTGTCTCTCCGACACGATGAGCACTCATGAGAGCCACCAACTCTTTAGGAACAGATACCTGGAAGAAGGTTATCCAGACATTAGCAATTCAGGCACCGCGGAAAACAGTGAAGCCATTTTTATCAACAGAGCCAATCATTTTTGTTATATAATACACTAGAAGGGAGTTATAGCAAAAAAGTAGTCCAGATTTGTTTTTCCATCATTAAATTTTCCCTCTCAAGCAGAACCTGAAGTGTTGAGAAAATTTTGCATTGAAAGCTGACAATATTTGATTAGGTCAACAGACTCTCACTGAGAAATAGTCAAAGTTTCACATACTTTATATTATTGACCATCACAATACACATCTCACTTTTTGCCTCCCTAAACAATTAGGCTACTTATACTGATACTGCAAAGACACCACAACTATTCACCAGAGCATATAGGGAAAATTATTTTTAAATCCTCAAAGGAAAATAATTTAAATTATTTTTACTCTATAGCCCCTTTTACTGATTTACAGACAGATTTTCTTAGTTTAGGTACATATTTCTTTTCCAATTCTGTCAGCATTTTTTTTCTTTTGGAAATATACATGTGAATGAAGAAAAATATTAAGTATATATATAAAAAAGTAAAGCTAGAAAAGTGCCACAGAGAATACGAGCAGCTTCAGCTACTACTCAATATTGTGTTTTCATTTTAGACCACGTTCAGGAAGGTCCAAAAAAAATTCACCCATTGTCATGGTAGTTGTAGCCTACAACTCAGGTTCATCTACCTCTGCATAGTAGGTTAGTTTCACAGCAGGAGTGTCTTGGCAGGGAAGGATGGCTCTGCAGTGCGTAGCCTGGAAAAAAAGAAAATCTGTGAAAATACGTAAAAAAAAAAAATCTTTCTTATACATCTAGAATTATATCAAACTAATATATTATATTGGAAATCTGCACAATCCCTACAGAGAATTCACTAGCCACAAACCTGTATCTCCTACTACTTACGGTTTCTAGTGATTTTTATAATTAAGGATTTGCCAAAAGAAATAATGGTAGACAAAACAGATTAAAAGACACATGCATCGAATGGAAAGGACTGGATATTCTTCAAAAGAAATACTGGAAAGAATACAGTAGATCTGCAATTATTAAATTGCAAATATATAATAAAATCTCAACAATATCCTGATTTACTAAGTATTTTTATGATACATGCACAGATATACATAAACCCATTACAGGACTGGGCAGCAATATTATGTTCTGTGCTGAACAAGTCAACAAGTTTTTTCTCCTACTGTTCAAAACCCAGTGGTATGTAAACACTGCCTTTAAAAACAACAGTCAACTCAACCTGACATTGGCTGAAGAGGAATGGATGTTTCTTTCCAGAAGTTTGCTCTGGAGTAAACCACTGCAGAGCTGAAGACGTTGGGGAGCTTTCAAAAGAGATTTCAACGATTGCTTCTTGTCCTCTGCGCAACAAAGAATATGGTCAGATAGTTCTAACATGACTCCCGATTACTACTCAAAATTTCTTCACAAGCTTTTCTGAAAAACAGGAATACTAAGTTTTGCAACACTATTTCAAAAGCTTTGAAAGGAAGAAACAGCAGCATATTAAAACAATGTTGCCCTTTCAGTTAAGATACGAGCATAGTAACAATTAGATATTTTATTTCAATTTTATTGTCTCAAGACACTTCCTTTTTTAATTATTTTTGCCGACCTTAAATTTCCTAAATCCTCTCCAACAGCCCAAGAATTTGGACTTCTTTAAACTATGAGGACCAGCTAAGCACATATATTCCCACAGCACGTAAGTATAGAAAACCCCACAGAGCAGTAAGTAGAAAAAACAGTGTATGAAGCCTATATAAGGTGTACTTGCTATAACAATAAAACTGAGCATTCTTCAAGCCAAAATACTTAGAATTTGCAACGGATGGTAGGTCCCATGAAGGTGATCCTTCAGCAGAACATAAATTACTAGAAATAGAAATTATCAGAAAACCCTAAAAATATTAATGAGGAATTAATGAGAGCTTAATGAGAAAAAAAATGCAAAATGCCCCAATTTTACAGAGGACCCCAAAAAAGCTAATAGCTATGTGCATAATAGGCACCAACACGAAATCCCACACACAAAAGATGACACAAGCATACATTTATTTTTTAAAAACAGAATGAAACCAGCACCAAGAGCAATGCAGACACATATTCCTTCTGTCACCTGAAAGTTCCAGCAACTCTCTGGAATTAGCAATGCAATCAGAACAAACTTCAGCTAGTCAGAGCAGTTGGGTATTAGATAAGTCAACCAGATACACATATCAAGTTTATAACCAGCATTCCAAAGTACACATTCAAAAGCAAAAGAAAAAATAATTTATATTACCGTAAGGCACATACTCTCATTGAGCAGTTAAAACGTACAGTTGTGACTCTTAAGCTTTCCTATTATTGGTTTATTAAGAACCCTAATAGAGATACAATATTCATAGAATCATAGAATCTATAAGGTTGGAAGCGACCCTTAGAGATCATCTAGTTCAACCTACCTGCACACACAGGGACACCTGGAACATGTGGCACAGGATTGCATCCAAGCGGGTTTTGAATATCTCCAGAGAAGGAGACTTGGCAACAAATGAAACGATGCCCTGTGTCTCCCACACTGCCTGTTCATTCAAGTACTTCATTCTTTCAGGCTTACATCAGAGCAAAAAAGACTCTCAGAAGAGATAGGCAAGGCACTCTGCAAGGCTCTCCATTACTGCCTCTAACGAAAACGACAGCTAATGTGTGACATTCCATTTTCTTCCACATCACATGTGTACTAACTCAGAGAAGGAAGAAAAATATTAGGAAGCAAACACGAGTTTCTAGTAATAAGCACTTTTGAAGTTAAAAGACAAATTTATACGAAATTACCTTCAAAAAAGAAAGCCACGATACAATCACAGCTTTTATCTTGAGCACATGAGATGTCCCAGAGTTACAACCCAGACAGCCGACAATCAGAAGACCATACTGCAATTTGGCAACAACTTTTTATTTCCTACAATTCGAAGAATGAGCTAAACATAAGCTACCTCTTTCATCAAGCCGGCAAAGCCCAAGTTCCAGTGTTTAGCCTCTAAAACAATATGACAACTTTTTTATTATTTGAAAATACCTTTCCACCTAATCATAGTGGCAATCTGCATTCCTATGGGAGTGTAGGATCAGTTTGTGTATAAAAGAAAGGGAAAGCGGACCTGTAATTCCATATACTCCCTAGTGAAGCAATTCCGAAGCAGATAAAATTGAGGTAGCTTAAGCAGAAAGAGGAATATTGCTGATGAGAAGCCCCGGAATAATTGTGAGATGTTCCACAACATTCTGCTGCTCAACTCTGTTTAGAAAGTTACTTCATAGAATCATGGAATCATTAAGATTGGAAGGCACCTTTAGAGATCATCTAGTCCAACCCCCCTGCACACGCAGGGTCACCTAGAGCACGTGGCACAGGACTGTGTCCAAGCGGGTTTTAAAAATCTCCAGAGAAGGAGACTCCACCCTCACTGTTAAAGAGATTTTTCCTTAAGTTCCCGTGGAACTTTTGGTGCTTCAGTTTGTGGCCATTACCTCTAGTTCTCGCTGGCTACCACTGAAAAGAGGTTGGCCCCATCCTCCTTCCTCCCTTGAGATACTTAATTAAATACACCAATCAGTTTCCCTCTCAACCTTTTCTTCAGGCTGAAGAGGTCCAGCTCTCTTTTAGCCTTTCCTCATAGGGCAGATGTTCCAGGCCCC